ATGTTTATACTATAGGGACTAAAAAAATTTTATTCTAAGGGGACAATAGTATGGTTAATTTATTCCTTTTTGGCAATTTCCCCTTTTTTATTCACCATGGTTGAACAATTTACTATCTTAGGTCTTATTCTATTATTATTCTATAGAATATAAATGTAACAAAATATGTATTATATTTGAAAATAAGCTATTAATATGATCGCGCGTGACCGTGCATCAAACCAGATGTGAACGACTGACTAATTATACTATACTACTAGGTGTTTTGCCCGCACTTGCGGGCATAAATCTCGTATAAATATTTATTAGCTGATGTTTTATTAATTTAAAACCAACATAATAATTAATATTTATGTTTTCAAAAAGTACAAATGAAACATCAAATAAATATCAGTGACAAAACTTAAACATCGGAAATATTTAAAAGAATATATTTCTATTATTATTTTGCTTGATTTATAATTAATTATAATATTTATACACATATTTTTTAATTTATATTTGATTATAATTTTTTATATATTAATTTTAAATTTTATAATTGAAAAACATATTTTAAAGATAACAATATAATGCATAAGTTATTTATTTTCTAAAAATATAATATGATAAATTTGTTTTAATTATATAATAATTATATAAGATTATAGAAATTATGACTTATAATTAAAATTACCTAAAATCATGGAGAACTTAATGAATCAACAAATTCACTTCTTAAATAGATTAATTTGAGTGATGATTTATATTTAATTAATAATAGATAAGTTTTATATTTTACTTTAAAATTATATAATCTAAAAATAGATTTTCAAGATAACAACATAATACGTAAGAATTACCTTATTTTATTAAAATATACTATTATTAGTGAAAATTGATTTCAATTATAGAATAACTACAATCATGGAGACAAATCAACAAATTCACTTTTCAAATAATTGTTTTGATGATTTATACTTAATTATTAATAATATAAATTATATATCTTAATTTAAAGTGCTATAATACAAAAATATATTTTCAAGATAACAACATAATACATAAGAATTATCTTATTTTAGAAAAAATATAAAATTATTATTATAAATTCGTTTTAGTTATATAATAAATATAATAATCTTTGTATCTTAATTTAAAATTTAAGTGTTAAATATATAATATATTTCTAGATAACAACATAATTCACAAGAATTATGTTATTTTCTAAAATATGATATAATCATATAAATTCGGTTTATTTATAAATAAATTATATATAAATATTAAAAATATTATAAATAAACAAAATTACTTAAACTTATGGAGAACATGGCAACTAAGCAAATTTACTTCTTAAAGAATAGTATAGATTAATAATATAAATTTTATATCTTAATTTAAAGTTCTAATACGAAAATATATTTTCATCATAACAACATAATACATAAGAATTATCTTATTTCATAAAAATATAAAACAATTAATATAAATTCGTTTTAGTTATATAATAAATATAATAATTTTTGTATCTTAATTTAAAATTTAAGTTTTTTATATATAATATATTTCTAGATAACAACATAATTCACAAGAATTATCTTATTTTCTAAAATATGATATATTCATATAAATTTGTTTTATTTATAAATAAATTATTGATAAATATTAAAAATATAATAAATAAACAAAATTACCTAAACTTATGGAGAACATGACAACTAAGCAAATTTACTTCTTAAATAATAGTATAGATATAAATTCGTTTTAGTTATATAATAAATATAATAATTTTTGTATCTTAATTTAAAATTTAAGTTTTTTATATATAATATATTTTTAGATAACAACATAATTCACAAGAATTATCTTATTTTCTAAAATATGATATATTCATATAAATTTGTTTTATTTATAAATAAATTATTGATAAATATTAAAAATATAATAAATAAACAAAATTACCTAAACTTATGGAGAACATGACAACTAAGCAAATTTACTTCTTAAATAATAGTATAGATACTTATTAAACAAAGAATATAGAACATCACTTTATTGCAAGGTTACTTGTTGAATTTTTTCTCCTACTATGTCCATTTGGCAAATTCACCTTTATAGAAAAACAAAATTTCAACGAAACTAACATATAATTACAACGACGAGTACAAAACTGATCATGAAGGATGAAGGCTGAAGCGGAGTGAAAGTTAGACACACGTAGACTTTGCTAAGCAAAATGTAGAAAGAAATTTCTTGGTTACCATGAGCAACCAGGAGATAAGGCGACCTCAAACCCTATAAACCACATTACTTATGCTTCTTCAAAGCTTAAACCCATGAGTCCCAAAAAGAAGAATACAAACTAAACCCACAAAAACTGAGTACAAGCCACATGTGGCACAAAGAAGGGACGCCAACATGCAATGTAATCATTTTTCTGAGCAAACTGGAGATTGCGACATCTCAAAGACATGACCGCTACACCCATTTAACTGGACCTCCAAACTGAGAGGTTCGGTTGTACCCACTTCCCGTTAAGCCAAAGCCAAGCTGAGATAGGGTCGATTTTCCAACTAAACCCTCTAAATCAAACCTAAAAATAACACCACCAGAGAGCAGCATGAGGGCTACACCGATGGACTTGAACACTAACGGAGGCGAGAAAATTCTACATACACACCAGTTCCAAAAAGCAAACGGCATGAGAAGCACATCTCAAACTAGAAACGTGACCACCGAAGTGTAGAATCTCATACAATTTATAATGATTTATAAATCTATAAGTGGTACAAATTATTTTGTTTACTATCCTCTTTTTTTTCTCCACACTTGATTCTTTTTTTGGTTGGTTTTGATTCTTGCTAGTAAGATGATTTTACACGTATAGACTATCAATAAAAATAAGAGAAGACATGTGCATAAAGAAATACGTTAGGACTACTGGTTTTGTTTTCGTATTGCACAAAAAAAAAATCTAAAAACTAGCAGGATTGTGTTTGTTTTATTGTTTCAGGTATCCCTTTCACTTTTAGCTTCAGCCTTCAGAAATTTAGTTTCTGATTCCTAACTCCAGGCGTCATTTTTCTTTTACTTAACTCTTAGCTTGCATCATAATTGGACATGATTCTGGATGTAAAAGAGGAAGAAAAAAAACCTGTGACTTGTTTAATCCATCACGAAGAGGTTCTTTCGAGAAATTTGTGATAAAAAAAATATGCTGATAAATGAAATCTGATTGTGTGGATAATATTCCTGAATCAAATGATTATTTTGGTGATACAGTTAGTCATTTGAGTGAGCATGATAACGTGGTAAATGTATCTAATGTTAAAGTCAGATTTTTTGTGAACAATCAAGTTCTTGTGTTGACATATATGATCCTATGTATTGGGAAAATCTTGACAACAAAATGAGAGATATGTTAATTAAAAAAGGGCCTAAAAGATAAATGACTCTTGTGTTTCATTTAGATAAGTATCCTAGACATTTCTCATATAACTATTACATAAGAAAGTTGAGCACTGGAGAAACTAGTGATATAAATTGGTTGGTTTACTCGGACAAAGTCTATTTCTTTTGTTGCAAATTGTTTAAATGTAAGGGCTGTTCTAATATGTTTGCAAATCATGGATTTAAAGATTGGAAGCCTCTTATCGTGAGGCTTAAAAATCATGTGAGAAGTATAGTGTTAAGCTAGATGGACTTCCAACCTAAAACCAATTGGTGATAAATGATTGGCCCATCTATCTTTTATACTAGATATAACCTCTTCCAACTTTTGATGTGGGACCTTTGTCCCTAATACACCCCCTCGAGATGATGGCTCTTTGGCGTCAATCTCGGAATGTTCGGGCAACGATCGATCGACCGACTTTGGACTGGATCAATAAGGATCGGGTTGGACTG